ACAATGCATTATGGGAGTTTAATCCAAATTCACATTTTGGTCTACTGAGCATATGTACAGTGCATTATGGGAGTTTAATCCAAATTGACATTTTGCTCTACTGAGCATATCTACAATGCATTATGGGAGTACAATCCAAATTGACATTTTGCTCTACTGAGCATATGTACAATATATTATGGGAGTACAATCCAAATTCACATATTGCTCTACTGAGCATATCTACAATGCATTATGGGAGTTTAAACCAAATTCACATTTTGCTCTACTGAGCATATGTACAATGCATTATGGTAGTTTAATCCAAATTCACATTATGCTCTACTGAGCATATCTACAATGCATTATGGGAGTACAATCCAAATTCACATATTGTTCTACTGAGCATATCTACAATGCATTATGGGAGTTTAATCCAAATTCACATTTTGCTCTACTGAGCATATGTACAATGCATTATGGGAGTTTAATCCAAATTCACATTTTGCTCTACTGAGCATATGTACAATGCATTATGGGAGTACAATCCAAATTCACATTTTGCTCTACTGAGCATATGTATAATGCATTATGGGAGTTTAATCCAAATTCACATTTTGCTCTACTGAGCATATGTACAATGCATTATGGTAGTTTAATCCAAATTCACATATTGCTCTACTGAGCATATGTACAATGCATTATGGGAGTTTAATCCAAATTCACATTGTGCTCTACTGAGCATATGTACAATGCATTATGGGAGTTTAATCCAAATTCACATTTTGCTCTACTGAGCATATGTATAATGCATTGTGGGAGTACAATCCAAATTCACATTTTGCTCTACTGAGCATATGTACAATGTATTATGGGAGTACAATCCAAATTCACATATTGCTCTACTGAACATATCTACAATGCATCATGGTAGTTTAATCCAAATTCACATTATGCTCTACTGAGCATATGTACAATGCATTATGGGAGTTTAATCCAAATTCACATATTGCTCTACTGAGCATATCTACAATGCATTATGGGAGTTTAATCCAAATTCACATTTTGCTCTACTGAGCATATGTACAATGCATTATGGTAGTTTAATTCAAATTCACATTATGCTCTACTGTGCATATGTACAATGCATTATGGGAGTTCAATCCAAATTCACATTATGCTCTACTGAGCATATGTACAATGCATTATGGGAGTTTAATCCAAATTCACATATTGCTCTACTGAGCATATCTACAATGCATTATGGGAGTTTAATCCAAATTCACATTTTGCTCTACTGAGCATATGTACAATGCATTATGGTAGTTTAATCCAAATTCACATTTTGCTCTACTGTGCATATGTACAATGCATTATAGGAGTTTAATCCAAATTCACATTTTGCTCTACTGAGCATATCTACAATGCATTATGGGAGTTTAATCCAAATTCACATTTTGCTCTACTGAGCATATGTACAATGCATTATGGTAGTTTAATTCAAATTCACATTTTGCTCTACTGAGCATATGTACAATGCATTATGGAAGTTTAATCCAAATTCACCTTTTGCACTAAGGCATTATTGAATAAAAAAAAAATGGCACACATAAAACAAAATACCTAGACTATGACTAACTTCTATTGAATAAAACAAACAAATTTGTAAGTGATGTTACATCCCTTCATGACAAACAAAAAAAAGTGGGATAACCATGCCTTGTTACCAAGGATACACACATTTTAGTATCACCATGCATAAAGAACGTGCATGTATGCTACTGTTTGTCATTTCTGTGTAATTAAGGACATCCTATTTTTAGTTCATGTGTTTGCAAAGCACACAAGGGGAGATAATGAGTTTGTGTCTGTCTGTCTGTGTGATATAAAAATTTAAAAAAAACTTCTGAGAAGATTAAATTTGATATGATGATTAGTTTCCGGGGCAATTTTGTACATATTAAGTAGCTAAATTGCATATTAATTACCTCATTTAAACAAAATCTCAAACACTTTTGAGCAACTTTTGATCTGAAATACCAATAAATAATTCCAATGGACAGTGTAATTGTGTCTTTATGGAATATATCATACTAAGTCCGTTGTAGATTTATTGCATTTTATTGAGGTTCATATTGAGCAATTATTTTCATCAGATTGAAGGAATATTTAAGTCTTAAATTAGGACAATAACCATTAATACTCAGGGTATTCGACTGGTGAATTTAAAATATGATGCTATTTGTCTGCTGATGCATTGAGTTGTTAAAAGTGTCATTGATAACAGTTTTCATCCATACGGTGCGATATGATGAGGTGGCAATGGTGAATGACACTTGCTGCATATTAATGAGGTGTATAGCCCCCCTAGCCTCGTGTTTGTTTCTCCTTTTCAATGCCAGAATAATTACGCTCCAATAAATAGAGAAATTTTACTCAAATTGAAGTTGATATGATTTGCATTATAACATTGAGCAGTGTCAGTATTAATTTTTACAATATTTTATTTATAATATTCACTTACTGCTTGTGTTTATTGATTATTTTTTTGTAAATCTCTCAATTAACCTTATATTCTAACCATGAAACTATTATTACAAAAATTGAAATTGTTTACTTTTCCTTCCAAATTTGTCAAGCCCTGCCTAGTGATAAATAAGAATGTTCTTCAGTTCTATGATGATCTTGAATTTATATCCATCCATACAATTATAGCAAACACTTTTACAAATGTTATTAGCTCCGCTGTTTACTTTGTCGAACAGAGCTTATTATAGGAGTAATTGTCTGGTGGCGTCCGCCGTCAACGTCAACTTGTTACTACTTTGACTTCTTCTTCAAAACTACAAGCCTTATTGCTTCGATACTTGATGTATATGCATGTACCTTAGGTAGAACTCTCTTAGATTTGTTTATTTCTCTAATTTTGATGAATATTTCTGTCATTTTTAGTAAAAAGTAATATTTTGACCTCTTGTTAAAAACGATTATTTTGATATTATATATATATATATATATATATATTAGGGTACCTCAGGTGGACCTCTCTCAGATTCATATTTGAACTTCAATTCTTTAATAGAAATGTGTATTGCTAACAGCAGAGCTAATCTCAGCTGGGAGGCTGCTTGTGTTAATATGTATCCACTGTTTTTTGTTTTAAACAGAAAGAACGTAAACTCCTGGAGAACAAGCGTCTTGACTTGGACGCGGCCAAATCCAAACTGAGGAAAACAAAATCTGATGAATCTAAAGCCAAGGTAAGTACTGTTGTCAGAAAATCAGCTCTTTATACAAGGGCGGATAAATATGAAGAGTGTAAGAATTGGCTTACATCTAAAAGAGATGATCATATTAAAATCAAGCAATGAGTTCACATACATCATGGGACTTCTGCATCAGAAAATAATACATGGTTTTCAAAAGGGCCGATTTTCTAACTACATTTACTGATTATTTGATTCAGTCAAGGAGTGATGTCAATTTCACTTTGTACTGAGTCAGTAGTCTACCTTTATGTGTCAGATACTTTTTCATCAACTTTTGGTTTTGTGCTAGCCTAGAATCGATGGATTCTTAAAGACATCTAAAATAAACGCCTGAGCGCTGACTGTCAATAAACGCAATAATGGTCACCATACCATGTCATGTGATTTGCACTTGCAACATAAAAATTGACCAATGAATGGGGAGTATTTAACTTTGGATAGTTCTGGCGAAGTTGGCTCTTTGTACGTTGCATTTCAGTATATTGACATGGCCAAATAGGTTAAACCAACCTTCAATGCTCGGCGTGTATTTTAGAATTCGTAGAGATTTTTGAAGACACCTCGATTCTAAGTTAGTTTTGTACTGTAGGGATTCATTATAAACAAATCGACCAATCAAAGGTGAGCTGGTGGTACCCTGGTCACACAATTCATACATTTGAACTGAAGTAATACATTGCTAAGTTTCGGAACTGTTCTGCATTGTCTCTGAATGGGCTAGGGTAATTTATTTTGATGAGCATTGTCTCTTAAAAAAAAACACGCAAACAAATGAGAACCTTAAACAAATGTTTTGAGTATGGAATTAATGGCGATTTGATATTGAACTTCCTGCTTTTCTGAATATTGAAATGTCTGGTATAGGAATCATTTTGAATAGTGCATGATGGGTCTTATTGCATGTTGTCATATGTAGTCTATGTGTAATGTGTGTATTTATAATGTCCTTATTTCGTCATATCAATTTCTTCTCTCAGATTTTCCCGATTAATATCTGCATTTTTTTTTCATGGTTGCATTTTATCTGACTTTTGAATTCCTTATATCTGCTTGTTCAGTGGTTGTTGCTGTTTGGCAATCTCTCATCCTTTATGAATGTTTTACTGAATGAATATCTGCAGTTCTGCTACAACAAGGTTCATTGACAACATAAAAACTGAACTTTTTGTAGCAACACCTTTATGTTAATTCGCCACCTGGTCTCAAAAGCCAATCAGTGGCTCTGTAGCTGTCAGATTGATAGATAAATATTTCCTCTGTATGCATAGATTCCAATTTGCATTAGATGTACATTTTCTCTCATAATAAAATACAGATAAGAAAAATTTCACTTGATGCATATTTAGCAAGATCATTTTAAGGTATTTTCAGAAACAAATCGTAATTATGTTTACAGTAATTCAGAGAAATCCACAACAATGTATTCAGTCTAGATGATATAGTTTGCATTTCTAATGCAATTAAAGTATCGCCTTTTCTATTCTCTTCATAGAAGGGACACAGCACGCCTGTTGTACTGTATGTGAAATAACTACAGTACATTGACGCACACATGTTGTCAATGTCTTCCCATGCTTTATACACCCCACACTGCTGTCACCTCACATTGACATCAGGAGTGGAAACCATGGTAACTGTGAATTTCATGAGCTTAAATTAATCCTAATCCTCTTTGGACTGATCTGCACATTCCTCATTTCAATTAAACAAATTTCTAAAGCATAATAATAATTTTTTTCGATTGAGGAAGCTTCATATCAAATCAGGTGATGAAATTAAAGTTCAGGATATGGAGGGGGGCTTCAGATCTCCCCTATTTCATGGTTCTCACTTCTCTTGTCACACTATAAAGTAACATTTTGCTGTTTAAAGCGTGTCTTTTTCTCATATTTTACTCACATGCTAATTCTAAAGGTTACTCCTGGTGACATTGAAAAAGTAAGTATACACACAACAGACCTGTTCACCCCTCCCATCTTTATAATTTGGCATAGTCCATTGTTCGTCAATGTATATATGTATGGATGGGAGAGGGAAAGTAAGACATGACAGTAAGACACGTCAATTATTCATGTTCTTAACTCTTTGCTGTGGCATTTACTCGAATATTTTTATTCTGTTTTACCTAAAATGATAATCGCACTGAAATTTATTTTTCTGTTTTCACAATCTGGGAACTATTGTCATAAACAAATAAAGTCTGTTGAAGTGAAAAATTCATTGTCATTGTTTCACAAAATAAATTTTGATTGAGTCATTTAGAGAATAGGACATTATTTTCATTTTCAAGAAAAATACTTGAAAATCTGCAAAAAATTCTACAATCTAGTGAGAAGAATAGTTGTGATCCAAACTCTTTTCTTTTACACTGTTTTTTTTTTTAATATTTGAACCAATGTAAAATGCGCTAATGAACCACTCCCAACTATACGCCCCACCCCACCACTCCAATCTGCATTATGTTTGTTCTCGCTAACCAATGGTTGAGGATTCTGTAGTACTTCTCATCCACAATAAGGCTTTGTGGTATCGCTGGATGTAGCATTTCAAAATACACTGTTGCAACTGCACAATCTAAAACAAAACAATGCTGAACAATTAAGTGCTGTGAATTGCCACCAGAGGGTGCTCTGCTATGTATGTGATGTTATATGTTACCACTAGAGGGCAGTGTGCACTATCTCCACATAATATTGGACAGGGTTTAGCTATTGCCTTTATTTTCACTTATAGCTAAATATGCTAAATTAAAAGGAAAATCAGCTAAAATTTAACACTGTAAATATACCCCATGAATTATAGCATTCCTAGCTATGTTATGTTTTTCTATAACATTAACAGGGCTTGAACTTCTGACAGGCATCAAAGGTAATCACCTTCACGCCAAACAATTTGCCTTGGCTTTTGATACTCTCTAGACTATTTCTATGATGCCAAGACAATTTTGTCAATTTTAGCTTTCAAAATTGGTGTCCTGCAAAGTTCAAGCCTTGCATTAATCTGTTATTTGTATACACCGCACTGCTGTAAAGATTCACTCGCTTTACATACAGGGGCAGACTTCTGTTCAACTATCTTCTTTTCACTATGTTGGAACTTATTTGTTTCAGTTATAAGTATATTTGAGTTTCTATGGTTACTGATTATCACCATGGTAGTGTTAATTTTTCACCATGGAAGTGTTTGTCTCTCACCATGGAAGTGTTCATTTCTCATCATGGTAGTGCTCATTTCTCACCATGGAAGTGTTCATTTCTCACCATGGAAGTGTTTATTTCTCACCATGGAAGTGTTTATTTCTCACCATAGAAGTATTCATTTCTCACCATGGAAGTGTTCGTTTCTCACCATGGTAGTGTTTGTTTCTAACCATGGTAGTGTTCATTTCTCACCATGGAAGTGTTTTGAACAATGTTTTATTCAGTAAAAATATCTCCAAAACATTTACTTATCTGGCACAGTCAGGTTAACCTAGTGAAAAGGTTGGTTTTTAATATTGCTCATAGGATATAATTGAAAATAGCTTCTTCCGTGAATCTTTGAACTCGGTACATACAGCCTTTGTTAAATTAATAAAGTTATGTTTATATTCACCTTTTATGCCCGACAATCAGTTTATCTTATTTGGTGAAAAATAAGTTGCAGGGATAAATAAATTTATACCCCTTTAAGATTTTTGTTTCTGAGGTTGTATTTTATTAGTCAATCAAAACCTGTCTCTACAGAGATTCATTTAGTATCTGTAGTGTATTGTTGGGTTTATAGTTTATTGCAGCACTTTATTCAGTGTTTTTTTTACAGTTGATTGTCGCCATTAATTGTGCATGTTGAATGAATTGTTATGTTTCTGGGGCAGTGTTGGCCAGGCTCTCAGGATTGCAAACTGCATGAATTTATCACCTGAGGGCGCCTGAGGGCATGTATTTATCAATAGGGTTGACCCAAATGAATGGTGGCTGTTGCTATGGTGATCACTGCTACATTAATCCTTCCATATCTCCCCTCCAAATTAAATTAATTGGTGCTGTTTGATACGATAATGCATGAACAGTATATTTGATGTGGTAAATGATATATGATATGTAATACCACATTAAACTTTGCCAAAATTGTATTAAGTTGTATTGCCAGTTGAAATTTCTATTTTGTGATGTAATTTGTCCCCAGGATATGTTCTGAAATGGATTACTGTAAATTGTTTTAAAATACAAATGTTTGTAAAATTTGAAAATTGTTGCTCATTTCATTTGAAATCTTTAAGATTTTAAAACACAAAATTTTTTGTTTGGATATTGACATTTAATACAATTTGTTATCTGCCGTGAATAAATACTGTTTCACTGTAAAACTCTGTTGACTCCAAATGCATGTTAATTTCATGAGAAACTGAAACAGACATGATATCACAAAGGGTGTAAGACTCCCACTGTCGCTCGCATTTCGCATGTGACAGTTGGCGTCTGGACTGTACAACTCTAGTTTTATTATGCTAATATCCTGGAGGAAAATATCCATAATAATAATCTAAGATACTAGTAGTCAGATTTAGCTTTTATTGACTATATTAAAACATTATTGAAATGTTGTATTTGTTTTAAAATTTGACAATAATATCAACTTTTAGAAAAGTAAACTGGCAAACCAAAATGACTGTCATTGTTTGTATTTTATTTCCTCCAATGTGTGTCTCAAAGGATGAGAAGGAGATTGAGGTGATTATAAGAGTATTTTTCTGATTATCTAGCTTCAAATTTTCATTTTTAGAAACTTGAATATTACCTGTCTGCTATCTTGTGGATGTATCAGTAATGTTCTTTTAATGAAAACAAACTATATAGTGAATAATACATGTTTTTTTTTTTTATAATTGTGCTACTCTATTTGAAGTATTTTTATTTTGTGACCAAACCTTCCAACTCCAGGTGCCTATATTGATGATTTGAATGAACTTTTGAAATTGTCAGTTTGTTATTAAAGAAAGGTCACGAAAAGTATATATGCCTGCACAGAAAAAAACATTCCCTCAATTGCCTGCAAATTTATTTATTTTGCCATATTTAACAAAAATTTCAAAAAGTTTGAAGCTAGAAAATCAAGTTATTTGTTTTAAAAAATGATGTTTTGTAATGACCAAATTACTGGGACACTTGATCTGTTGAAGGAAATCTCTTTCTATTCTGTATACTGTGGTATGTCAAGCAGTAATTCATATACTGGCGTTTGTTGCTGGTCTGTAATACCGATGATGTTACTTGAATCTCATTAATCAGAATACAATTATGTCATGTGACATGAATATCCAATCAGCTACAGCCCTGGATAAAATATTCATGTTCCTGGTCATCGCGTCTATCAGTTATAAATTTCTGTTTTTATTGTTTTGTCAGAATTTTAGAGAAACACGAACAAAAAGATGAACATAATACCAGAATTTATCTTCTCGTATATTGTTCACTTTTACATTATTCTTGATGCTATGCGTCTTGGATAATATCTTCGCTGTATGATGTAATCAGACATAAATTTTGGTATTTTCTGAATTACCTTATTATCACATGACCATGATATCATCCAAAGTGGTACTGTTTAGTGTAAAATGTCAATATGCACGGATATATGTCATTTCTCTGTGTGCTCAAACTACATGGAGAAAATACAATAAATCAGACGACAGAACCGTTTGTTATAGATGTGATTTGAGAATTTTCGGTCTGGATAACAACAATTTACTTGCAATAACAGTAATTGATAATAATGACGGAAAGTTTATGTGAAAAAAAATATTATATTAATTTCGTTATTACACAACTGTACCATCCAAACATACTATATGGTATAACATCAACAAACTATCGCATAGCATCGTAACTCGGAATACTGTGGAATACTTTATTTTAGCTGGAATTAATTTTCGCTGAAAAAGCAATTTGGGTGTTTTGTATGGAATTTATTTTCACTGATTTTTTGACGAGTTGAATGTGAAATATAGGGAAAATGTATACTCGCTGGATTTTATTTTCACAGAATCATCCTTTCAGCGAAAATAGCGAAAATAAATTCCAAGCGAAAATAAAGTGTTCTACAGTATTGCTAGGAAGGGTATCATTTCTGTTGATTTTGAAACTATTGACGATCGTAACTGAGTATTTAGACGTCAAAGATAATTAGCATAAATTAACATATGATTTTTTAAAGTGCAGTTCTGTTAAATCTCTCAGATTTCTCTGTTTTGACATGTGAAGTTGGTCATGTAATTAAAAGGTTATCTCTGGGTATCGGTTATTACTTTGTGGAGCTGGTTGATATTGGGCCGAATTATTTACGCTAATGTATTACTTTCCGGTTGTAGATAGTACTAAGCCATGACGTCATTCGTGATGTCATGTGATAACCACGCAGTATCGCAATACAAAGTACCAATCTAAGTCGTCTAACTTCACTGTGTTTTTAGGCACGCTATCAATTCTACGCTGCGTCACATTTGATATATCATGATTTCGTGTGTTTTAATATAACATCTACACTAGGCATATTTTAGTAACTTGATATCACACACAATGGGGGAGGTAAGAACCACACAACACCGTAGACAATGACAAGTTTACATACTGACATGTTTGATAAGCCATCTGATGAGCACATCTAAGAGCTGAGATCATAACTCGATCCATCTTATTGTGTTTTTTATTAAAATCAGAAACTTCAATTGTTAGCAAGGTATTCTATCTATTTTTTGATAAAATTCCTCTAAAAATGAGAACAAGTTAACCATTACTGATGAAATGTTACGTCTTGTACAATACTGTCACCGTGTTTTTGTAAATGTCAACAATTTCATGAACTTATACCTTTTATGTTGTGATTCACAGTCTGAAGAAGAACTGAGAGTGGCTCAGAGTGAATTTGACAAGCAGTACGAGATCACCAAACTGTTGTTGGAAGGCGTCAGCAATGCCCATGTAAGTCTTTTTACATTGTAACATTTTTAGTGTTCTTGTTTATAAATATTACGCAGAACCATGGTTACACGAGCCTAAACATGATGATTGGAATTGCTTATAATTTCTACATCATGGGCCTGATTGACACCTGTATAGTACTTTTAATTGCCAGAATTCTATTATAATAGCAACATGGTCACACAGCCCTGCCATGTTGTCACAAATATGGCTTCTGTGGAAAAATGTACTATATGTCAGCACTTCCCCACTTCTGCACATAAAAAAAAGTCAGGAGAGACAACAGTGACATTAAATCTTCAAAACTGTTGCCGGACACAAAAATATAAAAAAACAAACATGGTCAGTTGTCATGACAACCAGTGAATCTTGGAAACAAATACATTCATTCATTGTCCAGTTAGTGACACTGTCTTAAGGACTGCATATGCTTACATTCTACCTATTTATGTTCCTCCATTGTCTCTATACCAACATCACATGCACTTTATGCTAATCGTTTTTTTTTTACAATATTGCTTTTTTTAGCATACCGGTATTTGCTGTTTTTATATTTCCATAATTTTGTTTTTGTGCACTAGGCTAACCACTTACGCTGCCTTCAGGACTTCGTAGAAGTACAACATGCCTACTTTGTGCAGTGTACCGGTCTGATTGCTGACCTGCAGAAACAACTCACAAGGTTGGTTTTCTGTATTTTTTTTATTTTATTGACTCAAAATTTTGAATTTTTAGCTACAAAGTATATTAAGTTGAAGCTGTTAAACTGAATAGTGATATTTCCATGCACAACTCAATTTTTTGCTTGTGATGTTGAACTTTGCCTGTGAGAACATGATTTGTTTGTTTGAGGTTTGTTTCCTTCACTGCCCTAGATGATGACCATGCTTTTTCTCACTCAGACTAACTCATTAACTATGAGTCATAATTCAAAGTTAAATCTTTTGCTAGTGTATACTTGCATTCAACAAAAACAAAAATTAGTACCGGAAGAAAGAAAAATAGCAGTCTGTGTGGTTTTATAAAAAAAATTATTAAACTGAGGTGAATATTGTTTGACAAAAGATAGCTATCATGTTGTATAAATTTAGAAAGATGCGGATAATTGTAGATATTATTTTTGGATTTTGTTTAATTCTGATAATGGATTATTGTTTTACAGTTTCACCTCATAATTTGAGATCAACCTCTAATACTGTAGATTGCTTTAATTTCGTGAACGACAAATCTTTGCTAATTTCGCAAGTCAGTTAAAATTTCACTGACGTCATAGAACCCAAAAAGTCACAGCAACTTTCAGAAAATGTATAATCTGTAATTGTTATCTCGCGAAATGAGAAATGATTTCCAACCATTAGAGGGGGAGAGGTCAATTCGCATCAGATAGCTATGTTCAGTCAAGATTTATAAGTTTGCGGTATGCGATGAAAATTCATAATTTTGAGATGATTACAAAATCACAAAACAGACATATCTACATATTCCAATGCTAATTAATGAGTCTGAACGAAATGTTCAATGTCTGCCTTAAACCATTTTTGACAGTATCCTTGTTCGTTCACAAAGCGTCTGTTTTGTGTTTTTAAATACACGCAATAAATCTGTTCGTGTAATCAGACATTAGAATGACGTGCATGGAATGGGATTGCTTTCAATTAAAAATGTCAGAGTTTGCCTTCTGTTTCATATGGTTATGAACGTTGCATACCGTTATCTTATAAATTCGTCTCCAGTTACTGCAATTAGATTAAATCGTTACTGACTGATGATGTTTAGTCTCTCCTATGTAGTCTGTATCCATAGCAACATTGCATTTGCATGTCATTTGCATATATACCTTGCTGGCAGGCCGTGGTGATCTCGTAATGGTGGTGGGTGCAATAAACAAAGTCTTTTTCTCGTCTCTTTCATCTTTCTTCTCAATAGTGGTACTTTGTTATCGTAGTTTTCAAGCTTGGGTTTCTCACAGTAAAAGGAGTATCGTGTGACTTTAATGAATTAATTCTGTTAAAATGATATGACTGGATATTTTACATTATGTACACCAATACTTGAAACTTCAATTACTCTAAGACATTTCATTGAAGATTAAATTTCTTTGGCGCTATCTAGACAATTTGAAGTTTTCCAGACAATCTAAATTACGTTTTATATCTTTTTATAACTGCCACAATGAATGACTTGATTATTTTCAATCCAAAGAAGTCTGTATCACAGTAAAACTGTAAAATCTACTAGAAACTTCATTTTAAATATTTAATGTTTCTAATGTGAAATAAAAAAAAATTGATGTATACTTTAAAAAAAAATTAATATAAATTGTATTTAGAGTTGGCAAATTTCATTGGTTGATAGTAAAGCGCCATTTATTGGCTAATCACTCTCACTCCTGAATCTGTTAGTATCGTAGTATTTCATTGGATGACTCCAGCCTATTTTTGTATCAGCACATGTTATTAGCTGGTTTTTCTAATTTTAGCATATTTGGTTACTTACAGCCTTCCAGCTGGAGGTGACTGCATTCCGTCTGCCCCACCTGCTTCTGACAACTGAGACAGTACACTCTTATTTTGAAGCATTTATTCTGTATGTACACTATTTTTGTTTCCACATTCTGCAAATCATTCCATCGTGATGTTGATGCATTCCCGGGTGTTTCTTCAGTCTTCCAGGTGCTGGGAACCATTCAAACTCTGTCAACATATCATCCGCCCCTTCTGCCCCACCCAAGTTCCACGATAGGGCCCCGACAGGCACCAGACGGGCACGCGTGCTCTATGACTACGATGCTGCTGATCTTTCAGAGCTTTCACTTCTCGCTGACGAGGTACATACAAACTGGGACAAAATTAAAAAGCGCTTATTTCGTACAGACCAGAACAGGCCTTGCTAGTGCAAGACTATATTTGGAAACAAAATTGACTTGTAACTAAAATCAGTCATTTCAAATAGGGCTTTGTGTCTATTATTTTCATTTCTGTATATTTCAGTCACGCTTTACTTTTCTTCCTCTCGTGTTATCTTGCTTATATCTTTTATTACTTTATACCCCTCCCACTGACATTTACAATGTTAAATTTCGTTTCTTTTGTACCAGATTTAATTTATTCCTCCTCTCATTTTCTTCCAAACTCGTTTTGTTAAATGGCTGCCAAGTCCCAATTGTCTGAATGGCCTTGTCGGAACTTGGTGACCTAGTTTTACTACACAACTTAACTCTTTCTGCGAGTAGAGGAAAAAAGATTACACGGTTACTGGTACTATTGCATTGTTGAACAGTTCAATGCCTACAGCATGTAAATAGTGGATTGGTATAACCATGTGTTTGTGGTGTAACCCCACTAACCTGATTGTTGTACCTTCTTATAGTGTCAGGGGATAGTAGGCTTGGTAGCCATTAGTAAAAAGGGTGTGTCTCTTCTCATCTTTTTGTTAATTTTTTTTTCTTTGAGTTTTTAAAACTAGTCGAAAACAGTCATGCATGCAAAAATAAATGTTAGTCCTATAGACGTAGAGAAAAACTAAAAAAAATTGAAGGCTTTACACAAGTTCTGGTATGTGCTGTAGGTTGCTTTGCTTGCACCTTTCATCCCCGTGTCAAATGGTATAATCCATGCGTATAAATTCAATTTTATATTATGGTAAATACAAAATTTAATCTTGTCAGTCACTGTCTGATTTCACATGCATGTGTACACCAAAGTTTTGCACGCGGCTGATTGAGATTAAATTGCATGGTGCACACTGGGATACTTTGTTTTTGTTTCTTCCCATTTCTATCGTAACTTGTGTTTTCAGCAGTTTCATCTGCTGTCTGTAAAGTATAATAAAAAGTGATCAACCTGAAACAAGTCATAATTTATTCAATATATCATGGATACAAGAAGTTCAGATGTCTTATTTTGATGGCGTTGTAGATTAATCTGATATCAAAAACTTCATTCAAGATTTTTATTAACGCATTGCCTGCTGAATTAAGCCTCTATGAATAGCCGAAATTGAATTGGAAAAACGCAGACGATGTGTGAATATACCTGTACATGTATATGTTTATTTAGTGTTTAGTGACCACCCATACCTTACCCTCCCTCCCCACCCTTAACATATTGTGTACATTGTGCTGTTAATTTGCAGAACAGTAGACAAATATGCGAGTATTCAAATTATCATATTCATGTTCCCTGTCCTTCTAGATAATTACAGTATACAGTCTTCCCGGCATGGATTCCGATTGGATGATGGGAGAACGAGGCAACCAAAAAGGAAAAGTACCTGTTACATTTCTGGAGCTTTTAGACTAGTGCATTTTTTTTTTTTTTCACATTCTTCATCTACACTGGAGAGACAATTTGTCGGCCATCTTGATTTCACTACAAAAGGCAGCGCCCTCTATAGGGATTTGTAACATCGTGTACAGTGCCCTCAAGGAGATTACTTACAAGACGACCGTCTAAAACGTACAAGAATTGAACAGACTATTTTATTCCGTAGTTCTGAGACAATCTACCTACGCCACTAAAAAAAAATTGTTGACAAACTGAGTCCAAAAAAAGGAGCATTTAGCAGTCTTTAAAAAAAAATGCAAAATTACAAGTTTGTGTCTTGTGCAATTGTGTCATCAGTTATTGCGTGATTTGTCATTGGGTTATTTGTTATTAGTCATTATGCGATGAAAAAAAAAATTGTTTTGATGCGGATTATAAAGGTATAGATTAACACAGATTTGAACTACATCTATTGGTTACCATGGTTACAGTAATATTGTTGCGTAGTAGTCTGTGTGTAGAGTTATGCAATTGCAACTGGTGCTCTAGAAAAATTCGAATTATTTATTTCTGTTTTGTTTTTCCAGACCTTTTTCATTCATTTTGCCAACTTTTTTTCACCAAATTAGTGAGTGAAATTAGTGTTGAAAAAATGCCTTAATTAATTATGCTGAACTGTAGAAGAATGAGACCTCTTCTATTTTGTGATTGTCATAAGTTGAGAGTTGCATTCTGGGATATTACTTGTACGTTAATTTCAGTTTTGAAACTATCATACATGCACCTTGTGACATTTTTGATGATATTAATATGCACCAAATATTTGAGAATTCATCCTAATTCTTACTTACTGTGATGTAATTCAGAATTAGGTGAATTTTTAGTGAGTCTGTGTGGGCGTGAACAATTTAGCAAGAGAACAGGAAAGCCAAAATAATCTTGACATTTAGAATATGCATATTCCTGCTGTGAAATATGTCTTGTAATAATAGTTACAAAACTGCAATAATCTCAAGTACCATTTCTGAGTGTAACTTTGAAATCTGAGCTCAAAATGTATGGAACAGTTCTGAAAATAAAATCTTTCACCAAGCGGTGGTGGTGGTGCACTTTGAGATGCAATCTGTTCAATCTGGTAGTGAACTCTACCAATACACATTAAATTCACTAGTTCATCTTTTAATTACTTTATAATTGGTGTACCAGACAGAGAATAATGTAGATAAGAATATATTATGGGAAAACAAATAAAATATATTAATTATATGGACTTTATTTTTTTTTATCTGGTCTTGGATGTATGCTAAGCTTTTTAAGCCTCAGTTGTTGTAGTCTGCTGATCAAGATAACTTGTTGTCGTTTGTAATTTGAACACTGTCTTAATATGCTCTTTATATCTTCATGAACATCTTCAATGCAACTCAAAACAGTCTGAACTGCAGTGCCTCATTTGCATATTGCCCTTTTACAGTATCTGAAATTAGATAATCCACATAAAAATTGAGAATATTGTTGTTTAACTATTGAATACAGAACATGTGTGGCGCTCTCCATAATTCTACCCATTATTTGTGATTATTTTGAGCATTCACCAAAAATGCAATTGAAGGAAGAAAGTTTCAGTGTTGCTGCTAAAAGTACATTAAAAAAGTGATTGTGCACAATTTTTTTTTCCTATTTTCAAAGAATCACACTTTCGTCTATAGGAATGGTATTTTTGCGTTGTTTCCCCATCACAAGTATATTGCAGATGTCATTTTGTGCACACAAAGTATATTGCAAATGTCATTTTTTTGTGCACACAAAGATTGCAGATGTCATCATGTTGTGCACACAAAGATTGCAGATGTCATCATGTTGTGCACACAAAGATTGCAGATGTCATCATGTTGTGCACACAAAAAGTGACATTGTTAACTTTATTGCAGGTGTTGGTATTTATTATAATTATTAAGTTTTATTGTCATTTATTTCAAACGTTCTTGTGCAGTTGTTATTTTAGCTGGAATTAATTTTCGCTGAAACTACTTTTTGGGTGTTTTGGATGGAATTGTATTTACTGATTTTTGATGAGCTAAATGTAAAATATAGGAAAAAGGTATATTCGCTGGATTTTATTTTCACTGAATCATTTCTTCAGTGAAAATTGCGAAAATTAATTCCGAGTGAAAATAAATTATTTTACAATAATTACTCACAAAAAACTTAGGCATGTTTCCCTGAATGTGATTTTTAATGTTTAAAAAGTAGACATAGCTTAAAACAATTCTATCTAGGCTGTCTGTATAGAAGTAACATTGTTGAAACTTGTACAAAACCACCCATATCTATTTGAAGTGCACATGCTAGCGTAAATGTAGTTATCATTAAATAAGCATGATTTTTGCGTACTTAAAATCCCACGAGAACTCTAAATTGTGTTTGACATGCACCTGTAATGACGGAAATGAGGTATTCCTCCCAATAATTAGATCGGACATAAAAAATGTATTCATTAGATTGAGTTGCTTAATTATCAGTGAGATAATCTCACATGTGAATACAAAACAAAAACACAGAATGATTCAACGGTGTTGGTGTTGACTAGTTTATTTCTCCTCAATAAGGAAAAAAAACATCAGGATGGAATTGTTAGTGATTGCCATGTTGAATTGCAGGAGGAAAGTAACTTTTTCAGCAAAAATCATATATTTCAACTAATAGTCAGTTTACTGTATCATAAAGTTAAGTATTCAATCCTGCAGATTTGCAGTAAAATTATCAAATCAAATTGCTTCAATATTAAACTGCCTCCGTAATTTCTTCATTCTGATTTCATGTACAGCTTAAATATTTACAAAATTGTAAAATCCACTTTAATTTCATGAATATTTGGTGAAGGTATTATTTCTTTCATAATTATTTAACCTTTTTAATTGAAGTGTTATTGACATTGTCCTAGGGGGTACTGTAAATTTTGCTCCCTAACTCAATGTACTTGTTACTGCAACCTGCATAGATGTGTTTAGGTTTTGTGCCATAGATGAAGTGCAGTAGATCTAACTGTACATGTTTTCATTGACATGAAGTTGGGGTTAGATTATAATTTGCGGATGTAGTCATGAAAAAAAAACAAGCAAGAAAGCCTACATACATTTAGGGGAGAGCTAATATTTTTCTGTAAACAAAAACCATGAAACTAATGGACAAGATCGGGGTCACATTATCAGACACGTTTGCAACAGGAAGGGAGACTATTTTTACGAAAAATGTATGTGTTTTGAATGTTGGGTAGCCAACTTATAGCTATTGGGATTAACAAGGTTTAGATATGTGCCAATTGTATCAGATCAGGGACCTGTGTAGATAACATCTCATTTTTGAAGATTGTTTCCACCTATCCAGCCTCTGCTTGTGATTTCTCAACCCCCCAGCCCTCACCCCCATGGCAGCGCTCTCTAGAGACATGTTATATATACCATACACATATCTTATCCCAATAGAGCAGTGTTTGTATTCCAAAATTTTTATTTTCAAGATCTGTAGGGGTCAAATACATACTGTAAATCAATTTGAATTCTACAAGACGTATATTTGTGTCTGTCAAATTCAAGATATTTTGCCGCAGTGAAATTTCGCAAAATTTGTTATGTATGACTGCCATAAAATCCGTTTCCAGGAGTTAAAATCTAGCGATTTACAGTGTAAAAGTATTAGTGAATTATCTTCCCTCCATTTTAGATATGTTGGTTTAGTCCAAGTATATTAAAAATCTAATAAACTACAATTACTGTCTGCTGTGGTCATTGTTATACAATCAAGATGCAATTCAAGGCGGCCGACTGGCGGCCATTTTGTATGTGACTGGAATGGACAAGAACATGTCATTTTTTTAGCTGCTGTGTGTGCAAAGCAAGTTTGGCGCGTCTATGACTGTAAGCAAAAATTTGTGGGTGGATTTTGATAAAATTTATCACATCAGTACTTTGGGGACACGTACACATACATACAAACTCGCTAACTACAAAGACTTAGGGGAAATGTGCAACATGATTAGTTTTAGGGTCATGTGCCATGCATATTTTATTTCAACCTGTTTAAGCAAAAACTTCAGAACGAATATTGGTGCTGAACATCTGTTGGCTTAAGTTCTAATACTAATGGGAATTTTCTTTTTCTAGATGTGTTTTTTTATAAAACAACATTGATTGCATGGCAAACTTTAATTCAATCATGAAATGAATGGACGTGCATTCCAATATGCATGAAGTTTGAATGTGATGTAAGATGGTCCCTGAAATGTGGGTCTACAATGGCAGAAATCGGCCATTTTGAATCCGATCTGAAAAAAACATTTTGGTCTTGTTATATATATTTATGTATATTAACAAGATGGACTGTCCATGTATAACCGAGATGTAGATCTAGAATGGCAGAAATGCTTATTTTGGTGCCTTTTAAAGATTAAAATGGTTACCATTCAGCCATCTTAAATCAGATCATTTTAGTGTGCATATGTGTTACATGGTGTATCCTTAAAAATCTGAACATCAGAGATGTGGTTCTGAAACCACGTTCATTAAAATGAACTGGCCACCAGTCGGCTGCTTCAAACCCGATTTAAACAAAATTAACCAAGTTTGAATGAAATCAATCAATACATGACCAAAATCGTGGTTCAAGGATGGAAGAAATGTTTAATTTTTAACCTTATTCCAGTAAAATGGCGGCCATTCAGCCATCTTAAATCTGATGGTCAAACAAATATGTGCCTGCATGACATAATGGGATGATTATCTCTTGAAAAAAGTACTTAAGATATTGATGGAAAAGCTGAAAACTGACTAATTATGCAAATGAGGTATTTAATATGCTCAGATTTTAATGTAAAACTATTATGGTACAGTGATTGACTGCTAGATCATGTGTAACCCTGCACATTCACTTAGACATGCTGTTCAGTTGAGAACTAGAGATCAGGGTGATTGACCAACTCATTGTAGCGAGTTTTATAGTCATATCAAAGGCCATAAGTCGTGCATAAAGTTGCAACTTGACACCCCTGTCGACACCTTGCGCCAGGCTGCTGTCACCCTTCTTATCTCAGTGATTGATTCACAGTAGGTGTTAAGTTGTCTCCTTCATTTTCCAGCCCTTCAACGGCCAATTAAATACTTGATGCAAAAAAACATTAGTTCTTTTACTTCAAAACTGCCAACACAATTTTTGGGAGCCAACCAACTACCCATGAATTAGTGAGGTGCGACTTGGCGAGTGGTCACTGTACAAGATTACATACCATCTATGTACCATGTTTCATTGAAATTTGATTAGAACTTAGATATCAGTGTGAAAGCCAAAAATTTTA